TTTCAGCGGACACGTCAATGCGTTACAGATCCACAATTAACGCATTACATTACCGAGACACGACGGGAAAAACCAACAAATCAAAATCAAGATACATCGATTTTTAACGGAATTCGGATAATTACCGTACTAAAATTTGGTTTCTATTGATTATTAAGTAGTTTTCTACTCTTGTGTGGTAATATTTTTATCATTTTTGCACCCGTGTGGTCGCGAGTAGTCCCGAGTGGTCGCGAGTGGTTCCGTGTGGTCGCGAGTGGTCCCGTGTGGTATTTAGTAGGACCCCTCTATTTTACAGTGTACTACTACTACTAATACTCTAGTACTAGGCCTAGACCCTACTTTTGAAGAGGACCCGGCCTAAAACAAGGCCTTCCATTTACCACATTTTCAGCACTAAGAATGTAATTTTTAGAGGAAAAAATACGTAAACTGTGATTTGTACTTATTTCTAATCTGGATGAGCAAGTATACCAAGCATTTGAGGCATGTCGTGGCCAAATGGTTAAGTTGTTGCACAGAACAGTATTGAGTAAATGAGCTATAAAATATGGGAGCTCAAAAAATTGCATAAAAATCCAAATTTGTTTTTCACCCTAGATCAACAGTTTGATGTCTTATTAATCATGTCCCAAAGTATTAGTTCGGGAAGTGGTCAACAGATTCTTTATTTAATGTTCTTTTGATAGTTCATTCTATTAAACAATGTATGCACAAATAACTTTGAAAGGCAATTACTCAAAATCATGTTTATGAGTGTGGTACTTCACTTTTCAATAACTGAGGCTTGAAATGTCCAATTTCAATAAATGACCCCTCATTTTAAAGATCACATACTCAAGTATCTGAAAATACCAATAACTTAAATTTCAATTTTTCTACAACTTAGCCATTTTGCCACATGCCTCATTTTATTGAGTAGTTAGTCCAGCAAAGGTTTATTTTGTATGCTTATGATTATAAAATTTAATATTTCATTTGAATGTAAATCAGCAATTTTAATTTTCTTTTTAGAATTTGAAATGTCGTATCGTGGAGGTGGGCGAGGGTTTGGAGGCGGAGGGGGTAGGGGAAGAGGAGGAGGTAGAGGAGGAAGAGGGGGTAGTTTTAGAGGAGGTCGTGGAGGAGGAGGTCGTGGAGGAGGAGGTCGTGGAGGGTATAATAATTACAATCAAGGTCCTCCTGATTATGTTGTTGGTAAGTTCTACAGTTTTTGAAAAGTAATTTAAATCCTAATTTACATTAAAACTATATTACTATGAAGACTTTAGTATCTTTGTCTTGCTGGGAAAAGGAGATAGGAACAGATAATTTATTTATTTCTCATTTTATCCATTTTGTTAATGCTAGCACTAGCATCTCACCTGCAGATTTAATTCAACTCTCATCTCTCCCCAACTGGTTTACATAAATGATTTTTTTTTTAAAGCCATATTTATAAAGGGTAACCATTCCAGCATCCTAAAAGGTCAGCTGATATTCAAGGCCCTCTTAAATATATGTGGCAAAGACAATCCAAACCAGTCACTTGTTTGCAAAAATCAATTTTGAGTTATTAATACAGTGTTAAAGAGTAAAACAATAGCTATAAATTGGTAAAAAAAATCATTCAAATCCAACATTTCCTTATGAAATTACGTTTAAACATACAGCATGTACAGCTGTTTAAAGAACAGTATACAGTATGAGAAATTAGCCTTCAAAGTATATGATTTCTGGCATTTCTCATGTAGAAACTATCATCAAATCCTTAAAAAGTGTTGTTTTAACATTGAAAATTGGGAAAATAGCATCATAGCATGATGTATAGATATATAAAGGTTAGTTTAGTGCAATAAAATAGATTTTTTACATTCTAGCATGTTTTTGCCATTTTCTCTGAAACACAATTTGCAACGAGTGACTGGTTTGGCTGGTCTTTGTCAGATATGAATTAAAGTGATGCTTTATCATTGAAGTCTCATTATGAGGAATTGGGAGTGGAGATGTTTTTTTAGTTGTGAGAAAAAAGCCTGTGCTGTCACATGATTTAAACCTAGGACCCTGGGAGTGGAAGGCAAGCATCTCAACCACCAAGCTACAGCTCAGCCATGCCATGGTTTATGAGTAATTGTTTAACTTTTTGTTTAATTTTCATTAGAAATTGGTAACTTTGCTCATCCGTGCCAGGATGAGTTGGTGTGCAAGGGAACCAATGAGAAGATACCTTACTTCAATGCACCAATATATTTGGAAAACAAGTCACAGATTGGCAAAGTTGATGAAATATTTGGTCATTTGATGGATTATGTATCCTTTTATAGATTTTTTTTTTGACTTGCTGACAAAATAGAGCTTGGCTAGGTGTAAAATTACACACAATAGTTGTTCACAAAGGTGGCAATACCATCATGGCGTTCCAGACGTACCAGAAAAGCCTAGATTTTCAAGTGTGACACATTACATCAAGATTTTGGATTGTCATCAGCGGTAGGCAAGACTTTTTTATACCTTGTTTAGCCAACCTGCCGATTGCAAATATTGATAATTTTGAATAAAAATTAAATTAAATTTTTGGCTAATTGGCGCACCCGCCGCACGAAAACAAGGAAATTTCAGAAAAAAATGAAAGTTTTTCTTTATTTTTATTATGCCCTCCACTGCCTTGAAATGTATATTTCTTCCTAATTATATAAATTTGAAGCATTTAACCATCCTATTTTACAATCACCAATAAAATTATATTTTCATTTTATATTCTGTTGGGATGATTTTGGCAAAACTATTTGCTAAATAAGAAAACAAATTTTTATATTTATTTTGCCCTCCTCTGATAGTCTTTAAAAAAATAAGTACACGAAACAAGGAATAAAAAAAGTGTTTCCTTATCGGTCACATTATCCACCAAGTCCTACTAGAAGCAATGGAGGTACAACTCCAGCTATTCTGACCATCAACACTGTGTACAACTTTACACCTCGACACACTCTATTTTAATTGTCAGCCAATTACATCAGGCTCATGCTAAGCGTTTGCCAATCAACATCAGGGTCATCCTAAGTGTGGCAAATCATCATCAAGCTCATCCTTAGTGGGGAAAATCAATGTCAGGCTATACACTGTAAACATCTACTGTATATAACATCTGGGGTGACTTTCTCAATCTCCTAAAGATGAATATAGCAATCTATTTGAGCGGTTGAGATACTATCAACACGTCAGTTATATTCAGAACTATTTACATGGTGTACCACAAAGTTTTTATTTTAATATGTCGATCTTGATAATAATTCTGATGATCTTAACCAGTCAACAGTATTTTTCTGTCAAGCTCTCTGGAGATATGAAGGCTAATTCTTTTAACAAAGGTGAAAAGGTTAGATTAAGTTATTATATTATTGTATACACATAATTTAGGAGGAACATTTCATGTCTAGGCAGTTAAGTTGCCTTGCTTTCTCACAAGTACAAAAAAAAAAGCTCATGAATTAGCATCATGTTTAGCACTACACTCGGGCGGATCCCCCCCTCAGTCAAGCCGAAAAACAAAAAAAGAGGGCGACAAATTTGAGTTAAAGAGAGGAAGTGCTAAAAAAGGAGTGCACCCATGAGTCCAGTGGAGATACAGCAGTGGGTGAATGCAGAGCTGGATTATTTACCATTTATTGGTGGAGCTGAGGTGGGCGTGGCGGTGTGAATTTCATATTGTGCCCCCCACCCCCTGTCAGAAAATCTCTGGATCCGCCCCTGACACTGTATTTGGTGAGTGCACCTAGTCTCATTGGGGGAGAGGGTTATTTGGGGTGGGGAACCATTTGATAAAGGTATCAATTATTTTCATTATGTTAATTGGTAATTAATTTAAATAATAATTATTTTTTTCTTTTAGTTTTTTATTGATCCTATGAAGTTACTGCCTTTGCAACGGTTTCTACCAGCACCTAAAGGCGGGGGACGTGTCCAAAAAAGAGGAGGTGGAAGAGGAGGCCGTGGCGGTAGAGGAGGGGGTAGAGGTGGATTCCGAGGAGGAAGAGGGGGTGGCGGTGGATTCCGTGGTGGTGGAGGTGGTTTTCGTGGTGGTGGAGGTGGTTTCCGTGGTGGTAAAGGAGGTGGTGGTTTCCGTGGAAATGGTAGAGGCGGAGGAGGTAAAAATTCATTTTTTTTTTTACATCTTAAGTTTTATTTCTGTATAATGCCATAGTTCTAATATTGTGTTTGGTACCTACATTTAAAGGGCAATATAAATATGATAAATACATTTTTGTCAAAAATTATATTTTTATAAAGATTTTTTATAAAAGACACCCTCAGATTAAAAAAAATGTCTATGTTTGCTCATGATAATACTACCAACTGATAAGTCAGAAGGTAATGTTCAGTAATTTCAACTACTGAGGAAATATCCAAGCTGATAATATGTTTTTGGATTGTCCATAAAGTGTTTGTGTCATTAAATCACATACTATACAATTGATAAGTTATATTTGAAATTTGTACAATATTATTTTCATTTCATAATAGTTTATAAGTTATAGTTGATTAATTTTTATAATAAATTTATTCTACAGGTGGATTCAGGGGAGGAAGGTACTGATCAGATAATATTGAGAAACCACATTAGAAAAATATTCCTTGAGGCCATGCGGAAATGGATACTTACAGGATCTTGATTTCAACAGGGCGCCCTCTATAGTTGTATTGACAACATGCATACTGCATTTTCAACACAGTAGTTGCCAAGCTTTTATGTAGTTGTTGCCTATATCCCGAGGCATAGAGGGCGCCACCATTATAGACATCATTCCAACCAGCTGTAGTGAATCATGAACAAACTTATGGACTTTTTAATAGATCACAGCCACGAAGTGCTATATTTAGGCAGGTGTGGACATGAATTGAAGATTTGAGCAAGACCTGTCGGATGTGAATATCCATGGCAGCAAATGTGTATTATATACTGTATTGTCAATAAATGTTACAGAATGCTAAAGATTTCTACATTTTGTAGTCACCTCTTCTACCACATAATGTATTAAAATGTGCCTACTGTACATTTTCAAGCTAAACTAGCAAGCAGTAAGGCAGTGATGTTGGGGTGGAGGCAGTACTACTCAGATATAGGTTTTCAAGCATCTTATAACTTGAGGATATAATTTGGGCATCGAAGCATGAGGAGGGATGGGAGGGGGTTGAATTTTATGCCACCAATTACCAGCTCTCTTCAACTATGTGTATATTATGTTTGAAACTTGTAGAATGCAGATGTCTCACTAAATACATTTTGTGTGTGGTGAATATTGATGCATTACTAGTAGTCCCTGCCCCCTTCTCCTCCCCACCCCAACATGTAGCTGGGTAACTTGAACATGTGTATAGTTTCTGCTAATTTCAAATAACCAGCTTCATAATTGGAAGTCATTAGACTATTCTGTGGAAAGGGATTGCAAATGTAAAAAAAAAAACTATATTGAAATTATTCTATGCTTATTATTTTTATTCATATGAATGTTCAGCATTCTCCTACAACTGTTTAAATTTAATGAGAACAAATTGTTTAAGGTACAGTATTCAGTTTACTTAATGAAGAATGAAGGAATAGTTTCTATATATCTGGCAGGCAATGTGTAGAGTAGGCCTATATAACTCCAAGAGGTCCGACTAGTGATTTCGTTGGAACGTAATCCAATTTCAAAAAGTACTGCTACAAAGGGGTGTGTCTTTAAATTACTAGTTTCGAGCGAACTCTATTCAAATTTTAATAGGGCGCCTCCTCCGGGCAGTATTTTTTTAATGCTTCATTGCGTGTGCATACAAAATCAAGTTTCTTAAGTTTCAGTCTTGAATTGAATATGCAAATTATGACCTTTGTTAAGACATTAAAACTTCGATTGCAGAAGCATAAATATCTGCAGATATTAAGAAAATGAAATATTGTACCAATCATGTTTTTTTAAATAAATGAAGAAATTGGAAGACATTTCAAGGTTTTTATTGGAATACAGATTTTTTTTTCTTTTGTTGCTAATAATTTTTTGTTGTCTCTATATAATTTACAATCAATCAATCGTCAGCAGATAGTAGTAGAGCGCCATTGTTCATGTCAGAATGGTACAATGTCATTGAAATTTTTGAAAGTAGGCACAGGTCCAGAGTCCACCCTGACTGTCGCACAGATGGGATCACAGGGTGAAGTGAGGGGGCGGGGTCGGGGCTAAGAGAGCGTATTTGTCGTTCTGTCCATGGAAGACACATTTCAAAATGGGGTGAGAGGGGTCCAGGACATTTTTGTTCTCTGATGCTTGGAAATGCACTTTCCTGCATTCTGAGACGTCTTAAATGTTTTATTTTATTTTTTTAAAATTCTTTTATTGATAATAAATAAATATACTGATAAAATCAAATAAAAAACAAGACAAGCACAATTCATTTAACAATGAAAATAGTATCTTGGAAGAAATTCATAAGAACAAGGCGGAAAAAAGGAAAGGAACTTGTTTCAATAATAGACTCAAAGCCATCATCTTCCTGGAATCATTCATCAAAATCCTCATCAGGGTTATTTATTATTTCCATCACCTTAAATTTTTAAAATTAGAATAAAGTGAAGAGTCGAGAATACAATTTATTTTAAAATGTTAACTTCCCTACCTCTCTGGTATCACAAATGTTACAGACTCTGTTTTCGGGGCAGGTGGGGGGGGGCGATTTTGTATCTTGCATGTTGATCTTTTTCATCATTTGGTTATGAGCGCTAGTTCTCCATTTACTATAGTATTGTATGATCTATAGCTTCTATTGAAAAGTAAGCAATAGTTTTCAGGCTCAAATATTGGTTAAAATTTACAATAATAGGCCTATGTTCTAAGTTTTGATTGGCTGTTGCAGATGACATCATACAATATTGATTGGTTTAAGCGTCGGTTAAGAACATACCTGTATTGCTTTTATCTAACAAGTTTGTCGCAAAACAAAATGCAACCTGTAGCTATCTTTAAATTGATTTACTGATATTATCAACATGGTGTAGGCCACATCTATTTGTCTTGCTAATAGTCAACTGAAGGAATTTACTTATAATGTGGATTAATCATTAATGTGCATCTTGTTTGTCTTTCTCTGTTTATAGGCTACCAACAAGCTTACCACAGACCACATATAACCTTTGCGATAGTCATAAAAATTCAAAATGCAAAACAATTGACTTTTGCAGCAGCTACAATTTTTTTAGTCGTTCATCTCACAATGCTCTCCTACACAATCATCGAAAGCCAAACAAACCATATATTTTTTTTTATAATTACCGTAAATGCTCGAATAAGCGCAGCTCTCGAATAAGCGCCACACCAAACCTGATTTTTTTTTCTCTGAGCGCCGCCGTGCTTATTTAAATGTTGACGGTAAACCTATAATCAGTGGCAGATCCAGGAATTCTAAATAGAAAGGGCCGGGCCCAGGGACGGAGTTTCGCCGATAAATGGTCTACCTACCATGCCGGGTTAGGACTGAGGAAGCCGCTACACTCTTAGAATACATTTTTATAAGTATATTTTTCCTCCATTTTTTAACATAGGGGCCTAATTTTGAAAACTCAGAGGGGTGGGGGTGGGGATTCAAGCCGGCTCGCCCCCAACCTTGAATTCGCCACTTATATTACGATCACATTCTCATAGATTTCCTCCCACCTCGACGTCAAACTTATCTCGCTTAAGAATCACCGACAATCTACCTTCTTACCACTTTCTTGTAGAACCAAACGTTTCAAATCCTCGTTTCTCCCATATGCACTTTTAAGCTTTGCTCGTCTCTAAATCTCGATCCGTCTTCAAACAATGCCTCTATCCGTACTGCCCTGCTTGGAACACATTGATTAGTTGTTTAATTCTTATTTTGAATATTTTTTTATTGGCTATAGCAAATGTTGGTAATCGATTGTGTTATGTTTTTTGTATGGCGGATAATAGCCCATTGATGGCTTTTGTAGCACATAAATATTGAATTGAAATTGACTTGAATATATCAACCAGGGAATTCAGTTAAAAATAAATACACGATAAATTCTTCAGATTTCCTTCGGATTTTTAAGCTAATACCACGAATAATATGGTAATTTTTAACAAAACGTATGAACACTGCCCTGGTATATGAAGATGTAAACAGAAAGACCAAATATAATTTATAAAGCCTAATAGGGAAATTTACACGATTCAAAAATATGTGTGTGTGTGTGTGTGTACTATTAGTATGTGGATACAGACAGTTGGTAGATCCTGGGACAAACAAAACGACACTGTTTATTAATATACTTTTTGAAAATTGTTCCATCCCCTATCGTTACAATTTTGCAACAGATCCGACATAGGAGTCATCGGATACAAGCATGACTGAGAACGATATGGCGTTTAGTCACGTGATGCGAATGTAAATACAGTACAGTAGGCCTACCTCAGAATGTTCATCAATAGTAGTATCATTTTATGGCATTTTATTTCATTTATTTATTCAACCAATATTTATATGATAAAAAAATCGTTAAGAACAGCTAATGAGAGATTATCTAAATCATGGAGACGGACACGAGGTCAAATTTCAATAGACCTAATAATACCCCAAATTAAAAGTATGATAACGTTGTATATCTTCCCTTTATATGTTATGTATTAATGTTTCCATGGTGTTATGCAGACAAAATTTGCATATTGCACGATATAGGCCTATGTTCTAACATGAATAGAATTAGGACTAATATTAGTATTATAATAAATATGTTGACTCCCTACTGTGGCTTAGCAACAGACTGAGATATTATTATTAACATGCGGCAACATTATTTATATTACTATTTTATTTGTTAATAACCTCGGGTTTCTCGTTAAGATTTGGCATGGCCCTTAGATAGGCCTACTACTAGGATTAACCAGCAAGGTGATAAGTTCTATCACGGCTGTGTGTCAAGAAGACGTGTTAGAAGTCGTCGAACTTTTAAGTTCATTTTTATACTTTATAATTCAGATTTGTTAATTTTGAAAACACTGTGTTCAACGACAGGTAAGATGCTAAAAGTGTACCGTACCTTTCATTATTGCGCGTCAACCCATTTATTTTCTGTTCTGCCGTCGCTGCTGCCTTTGTCGCTGTTGAGAATGGCCCTCTCGGCGGCCTTCTTAGGTATGTTAATGGCTTAACGGCTTGAGTAAAAGTAGTGAGCGAAATAAACGAAATGAAATGAAATTTATTTTTCATTTTTAATAATTAAAAAAATCAATTCATAATGAGACTTCGATCACTAAAAGTATCTGGTATTTGAGCTAAAATGAAAGAATAAAATAAATACTACTTTCCAAATTAGGACAAAAAAGTTTTTTTTTAAACAATAATTAATGAACGTTTAAATAATTAGACACTAATCAAACAACGGTGTAGCTCCCTTTTTATAAGTTGCTTTGAGTCCTCGATAATTTTTGTAACATTTTTAGATCATCTGACAACGTACACTGCATTCCAGGGGTGGCGCCAGGATTTGCCAGACGGGTGTTCTAATATCCCCTACCACATGGAGGCGATGTCCCCGACGAAGTGTGTGTGGTCGGACGCCGCTCAAAATCACTCGGGTAGTCAAGGAGCAAACCCCAGAAACTATGAAAATTCATGATTTCAACGGCTTATTATCAATTTAGCAGTGGTGCTAATTATTAGAAGCGGCATCATATCTTAATAAATAAGATAAGAAATAAAGAAAAATTACATTGATGGCATTGATCGTGATAAGCACACTACGTCAACGTCACTAAAGCGATTGATATAATGGGGTGGGGGGCTGGGGAGAAGACAATTATTTTTGGAAAATACCCCTCCCTCCCTCCCCCCTCGCCTTACCCCTGTAGCACCTCACTGGATTTTATCATCTACTAATATGTAAATAAATACATATATTTTTTTTTGTCCACGACGATGGCCTTTCCTCACTGGCGCCACCCCTGCTAGCAGCACTTCAGAGAGCACATCACACTCTGTTCCGAACACACCAAAGATAATGATTTTGCATAGACCTCGTTAAATCTTTGAAAAATTTATTTATTTTGATCTGAAAAGTTGATATACATATTTTCGATATTTTTTTGTGGCGGTCATCTTGAATTTCAAAATTGCTTCCTCTTAGCTTTTTGTTACCATGTTTAATGAACTCAGAGAGGCACAATAAAATATGATTATACACCAAATTTACCATTTTGATTAAAGAGAAGTAGGTATTACATACCAAAATATTTGATTTTTCACGGTTTCTGACATGTCTCATTGAATTCAGTGACGTGACCCCAGTAACATATACCTAGACACCAGATTTGTTTATTTCATTGAATATAAGTAAAGTTATGAGCCGATATTTGAATTTTGGCGGCCATTTTCAAAATTGCCGCCAAAAAATGTCTTCCGCCCTTTTTCTGGAGGTTCACCCCAGCTCAATTTTTTATTTATACCCTATGCTAATTCAGTAGAGAAACCTTGATCCCCGAAAACTGGGCCCTGATTTTCACTATATTAAAACACAAATTATCATTTAGAATGTACCGTATTAAAGTCTCAATTAACATTCGAATTCACAATTTCATGTGGAAGGTAATTACATAAAACAATTTTTTAAATCATAATTCAATGTAGGTTTCTGAAGCATCGTTATGGAGGTAAACACTGGGATTGATATGGCTGATCAGCAACCTGGAATCGCTGTTCAGCAACCTGCAATGGCTGTTCAGCAACCTCCAACTCAACCTTCAATAGCGTTCACAACTCATCCACCCTTTAAGAAGGGTGGTGTGCTAATCACTGCAATTTTTCATATTGTCCTTGGTGGCTTGTGCGTGGCAATGGGAATATGGGCAGGAGTTAAAACATTGGAATATTCTCTTCTATATTTCAGTGTATTGGTAAGTATTGCGTAACGGTTTTTGGTATACTAACTGCTTCTGTTTCACATAACTCAGCGACCATAGGCCACTGAACTTTAGGGTCCCGGTCAAGCGTAGACTGGGCTCCAGTCCCAAATCTTTGTCTTTAAATCTATTTTGGCACCAATAGCGTTCCATATTACTATACTTTTTATTAGTATACTTTTTCTTGGATTAATTCGCATAAAAGTTTCTCGATATATACCGTCGCTGTTGGCGCTCTCCAAAATTAACTAATACTAGGAAAACCTATAATTAGAGACTTGTGCCAAGTCTAGGTCAAGCGTAGCTTATTTTAAGCTTTCTTGGTTTCGCGAAACAAGGTATCAAAAATATCACCTAAAATTAAGTATATGTCGCTACGCAAGTAGACACAGACGTACATTGATTTTTTTTTTTTTTTTGAGTACTAGCGCTAGTTGTTACCATACATTCCATACTGGTAATAATTTCTATTTGTTCTCAAGACCGAACCAGTTGCACTATTATATATTATGTTCGTTTAAACAAAACAAAAAGCTCGTAAGACCCTTTGCAGTTCTTGTTTTTTAATCATGAATTAAGTATCAGTCATATTACAGTAATATTATCAAAATTCTCATAAAATGTTGGTAGTTATTGGTTTATTATTGCCATTTTGTTTATTTTTTTCTATCACAAGCTGTACATACCTGCGGGGATAGTTGGTCTGCGGGCAGCCTCCAAACAAAACAAGTGTACAGTAAGTTAGTTACTTTTTAATTATTACTGGATTTTTCTATTTGATGTTTAGGATCTAGGGCCTACATAATTCGTTTTTTTTTTACTTAGGCCGGGGGAGTACACAAGGAAATCTTAATCTGTTTTGCGATTTCACTAGTATCTCCGTTGTCCTAGGTTCATTGGCATTTGATTCGTTAGCTATCATCCTGTGTCGGATCCTACAGTAGTTCCAATTGTGGCGCCAGCGGGTGGTCTAGGAGCACAGGACCTACATACATGTCAAGTTAGACTAATTTTCAGGCGTAAGACTTTTGTTCTAGAAACCTCTCTCCCCCTATAATGGGGGAGGGAGGTGTCGGAGAATTCCCCTCACCCCCACCCCCTGGAATGTTTTTCCTAGATGCCCAGAAATGCATTCTTTGCTACTTTAGTGTTGTATTTATAACTTAAATCTGTTAGGAATCATGCATTCTTCAGAATTCATTTTTGTCGTCCAAAATCGAAAATAGAAAGTCAATCCAACTTAACACTGGTGTAGTGCACCATATATTTGTGTTCGAATATATAATAACAAAACCAATCCTACTTTAAGTACATTAGGTGATGAATATTTAGCGAGAGAGCTAGAAATTATACAATTTTTTTTAAATTATAGGCAATATTACATTTATGCGTGAGATTTTGGTTCTTAAGCGTGAGAGCGTGAGACAGACCTCGAATGCGTGAGCCTTGACGTGTATGGACATACGTAGGGCCCGGAAGAACCCAATACAAGCATTTTGTTGGGGAACACTGCTTAAAAGCAGCGGTGACGCCAGAAATTTACAGACAAGGATGTCCGACGGAGGGTCCAAGCCAATGGGCCGACGAAGCCTTGGCCGATGGCCCGGAATAAAAACTCCCTTGTAAGGTTTACGGGTAGAGTTTTTTTTTATGACATATTATGGTCCAAAATTTGTTTTTAGCCCACAATATTAGGGACTGGAAGTCAAAATAACGTTATTTGTAGGTAAATTTTAAATGTTTGATCTGACGACCTAGACGAACGACAGGAGGTCCAGGCCTGTCGGACGGAGGGGAAAACGCCTTCCACGCCACCACTGCTTAAAAGAGCGTTTTCACAATGGTGAGATTGATATGAGTGTGTAGGTCTATCCCGATAGGGGATTCCCAAAACCCTCATCGGGAAATATCTAGCGCCACCACTGCCTAGTACCTTCATTGTGTACATACCAATATAAGACGATCGAGATGAATTTGGTGTTCAGGTCTGTTTTGTAATTCAAGTAATTAATCTAAAATTGAACTGAAGTCATTTGTTACAAAATAAAAAGTGCTGTTGCTAAGTGCATATTTAATTTCGTGTAAATAGTAAAATACAACAGTAAAGAAATTACAGAGGTTGGCGCTATCGATGCTACTTTTGTGCTAGGTTTGCTTCTCTTCACCCAGGAATACAAATGGGTACCTGATAGGAGGTGAGTGATTCACAATAAAATTATTTATAGTGCTGAGTACACGTATAGCTTATTAGGAATACTTCCCAGGGAGCGGAGGCGCTTGTGCATCGTGCATCAGTAATTCTGTATCCAATGACCAGGGAAATTCTATAAATAAATAAATACAATAGGCATAATACGCCTTTTTCTAATATTAATCTGTTTTGTCTATTTTCATGTAGGTGATGATCTATCAGACGATGTCCATTTTTTGTTTTTTCGCCGCTGCTTCTCAGTCGTTATACTTACTTATTTTCTGCATCAAGTTAAGTAAATTGCATAAGGACATATGGAATGGTTACTATATAATATCGGTAGGTACTGAATTGAAAAATCAATGAAAATGAAATTTAGAATCTGTCCGAAAATGATTAAAAAAACTTCTAACGAAACAGATTGAAAAAATATTTTTACTATAGAAATCATCAAATGATTATCGACCATTTGTTCTCATTCAACATTTTAATTATTAAGCGCTAGTGTAGTCTTAATTTCAAACTTTAGGCCTCCAGCCCTTCGTAAATAAAATTTAGGCCTACATTAGAATTTTAAAAAAAACAACATTTTAATTATTTAAACAGGCCTATAGAAATTAACCATTGAAATAATACATTTTTCAATATTAATGAAATGACCCATTTTCATAGACCAAAATATAAATGTTCATTGACATCGATATCAACCCAAGCAAAACAAAGTCGGATCTCAGTTCTCTACTCTTTGATTGTAATTTACATGATGAAAGTGCCTGTTAAAACACATTAATGGTAATAGTTGACTACCCTGTGATAATGAAGGGCATACGAAAATAATTGATGTCAAAACAAGCGCTTTATCGGCGAACGTAGCTATTGGTTGACGTTAATTCCTATGCAGGATAATAATTACCTAATATATATTTTTAAATATTTTTATTTTGTTTTGCAGATTGCTCAGCCTATTCTCGCCTTGTTGTTTAATGTAGGCGAAGTTGTTGTTGCTGCTATAGCAATATTTATAGCACGCAGCTCAAGTGGTTGGTGCTGTGACACATTACCAACACAATCAAATTTGGTAATGATGTGTAATTTTATATAATTATGCATATACTGTGCACACACAATCACACACACACACATGTATCTGTCTCTTATACACATCTAGATGTGTATAAGAGACAGGTATATATAGAGGTCTATATATGCGCAATTAAATGTGGTACCAATGTAATTGTATATACTTATTAGCACTGTTTCTAACTTAGATTGGCTTAGACACATTTTAATTGTTCTATCGTCTATCTAGTCAGCTGGTCTCTAACAGTCTAAATTCACTAGGTAATTTTCACAAGATTACGAATGAGTGGCAGCGCCACTGATTTTCTCCACTGGGGAAAGCATAGGGAAACGGAAAGTAACGGGCCCGAGGCCGCCTAACTTCTCAGATAGGTCCAGGGGAAAAGCCCCCTTGAAAATTAAAAATGTAATAATTTGAAAGGCTTATTCAATAGATTCAAGATTCTCACAATCTAAACATTACACATAGGTTGTGTTTTTGCCCGACGAATTGTGTTGACAGAGAAAAGTGTTCCAGCTTTCCTCAACCGGGCCTTGCCACTGCCATACTGGCGCCACTGCTGATACCATTTCATTGAATGTTGTGAAATGTTGGTGTCTAAACCAAGTAACGAAATGTTGGCAGTCAATGTAATATTACGGAAAACTTCTTTTTTTGCTGTAGGCCATGAAGAGTTCCTTAAATAACCCCGTGTCATCGATGTCGCCTCCACAACAAGTATTCACTCAACCACAACAAGCATTCGCTCCTCCACAACAAGCATTCACTGTACAACAAGGTAAAATTGTATTTCAATTTTGGCCTAGCTTATTATAATATAACAAAGTTTGAAAGTGCTTGTAGCGCGTTACATTTGAATCATTGACAAAGGACAAACTTGAACGATGAGGGTCAATGCTGCGCATACACTTAGAGACCAGCGCATCCAATGGCCCAACATCCTATCACGTTCCCATTTATACTCCTGGTTGGATAATGGAGGGTTGGATGGGGACGAATCCTTGTAAGTGCCTTGCCAAGGACACAAGCAGATCGATACCCCAACCACCACAGTTTGGAGCCCGAACCTTTGACTTTGGACTTTGCAACTCCTTATTAATTCATTGATTGATGCATTGAATGGCATTACTAGTAATGTTAAATTATGTTACAGGGATGGATTGATGCATTGAATGGCATTACTAGTATTGTTAAATTACGTTACAGGGATGGATTGATGCATTGAATGGCATTACTAGTAATGTTAAATTGTTACAGGGATGGATTGATGTATTGAATGGCATTACTAGTAATGTTAAATTATGTTACAGGGATGAACATCAGCCAGCCAAATGGACAACCAGAGCCCAATGGAATGAGCGTGATTTCATACTGAACTGAGCAGTCGGCTGAGAGGTATTGTTCCTGCTTCTTGTGCAGAAGACACTGGTTCAAACCCAGCCAGCGTCATGTTTTAATTTGAGTCTGACGATTACTTACCTCCTCGAATAACCATCATATTGATTTAAGGACAATGTTTGTGTCCGTTATGTCCGTTATATCATAGAGAAAATTTTTTCTCTATGGTTATATGTAGTTAAGTTGATTGCAAAGATATTAAATTAGTTATAGGAATCTTTATACAGGCTTGCCTCCTAAGTTTCGGCATTTGTTTGTTGAACGGATGAAAATAAATTATAATTTATTATTCTAGATACGAGAGATCTTTATCAGTTCTTAGTAGTATCGTACAAATGCATTTGTGTGATATTATAAATATTGATTATTATTATTTTAATTACTATATTGTATTTAATATATTTGTCATTTTAATTATTTTCATATTATAAATGCTATGATAATTATATTTATTATTATATTTAATATAATTAACATAATTATTATAATTCTAATTATTACTGGCCCCACTAGGATGAATACCTTTTTTCATTTATTACCTTTCATATCGAATTAAAATCCTTCAAAGATTATTTTTATTTGCAAATTTGTAATACACTCTTATAATTATATATTCTCCGCTACAATCTTAATTGAATTCCTGTTTTTTTTTCAGGACCCTAATGAAAATAAACCCGGTTTAATTGGTTTCCTATGGGCTATCCTGGTAGATATCATCTTGTAGTTCTTAACTATTTTTTACAAATAATATTTACCACACTACTTTAATTTAGTTTTTCTGTTGTATCTTGAAAAAACGAAGTTTACACAATTGTACATTCTTTACACTTTCATTTTATATTTGTTTTAAAATTTTTAAAATTTTATGTAATTTTGTGATTTTGACCGAATAGATAAGGAAACCATATTGTTTAGGTTTAGAGGTATTTATGGAAATTCGGTAAACAATCTGGGGGCCAGATAGACACATAGTCGTCATGATTAGTGGCTAATAACTATTAGCCTCTCTATTGATCTTTTATGTCTTTAAACGATATGGTATGAGTAATTTAATCAAATGTCAATAATTGTTGATTAGTCATTCGATATTTTGTTTGAAAAAATACAATGTGATGCGAATAAAATGTATTTTGTTAATATTGCAATTACCACGCTGCCAGTTTTTATATAGAAAAATATTCTGTATGTTTTCAATTCAATTCAATTCAATTCAATGCAACATTTATTTACTTCATTTTTGAATCAGACAAATATATTACAATTGATTTAAAATAAATTGAAAATGCAGGAGAGGAAGAAGGCAAGAACCCGAGAAGATAAGAAAAACCAATCTTGGTTTAAGTTTACCATGCCGAAAACTGAATATATTTTCTTTGTTTGTGTACATGATTGTTCATTATAGCATAGAGAAAGATTATAGTAAACTTTCAGTACAAAACCCTCTATGACTGAAAGTAAAATTCATACATGAAAGTAAAATTCATTCATGACTTACTTAATGATAATTAACATCAGTTGATTACAGTTTACAAAATTTAAGGTTAATCAATGCCAGATCTTTTATTTAACAATCACAACACTTGTATTCAAACTTTTTGATATGCTTACCCTATAATCCAGCCATCCTACATCGGCGACCCAGCCTTCCTACATCGGCGACTCAGCCATGGTACATCGGCGACTTAGCCTTTTGATCACCTAACTTTGTTAACGAATCTTACTTTTCGTATCCTATTTCGATTATTTAATAATTAAACCATATTATTAGTCCCGATATTTTGAATACTCCTCTTCCACGAATTGTTTTGGACAGTGACTCATTTAATTCTTATTACACAGTATTAATCGATCAAGTCTGTCGTTGAATTGCAAAATATTTGAGTGTTTGTTCATCCAGTGTTAACATGTTCATGGAGGAAATGTTAGGTAATATTCTACCTTTTAATTCAGTATTTCACGTTCCTTTTACCGCATTCTGAAGTGTTTCAACAACATTGGTGTGAAGGCATGCCTTTTGTGAACTTCGGTAACAAAACAAAATGCTACAAATGTATAGGCCTATAATATTAATCAATACAACGTTGTATGGTCTGTTTTTTTGCTACATTTCGATAATAATAATATTAATATCGCTTAGATCGTTAATGTCTATCTTTGTGTTTTCGTGTATGCAGGGGTAGCGCCTGTAAGGGTGGGGGAGTGGGGAGGACAACATCCATTGGGGAGACCCCCGGGTCGGGGACAAAAATATACCTCGTGGAGGAAATGAAAAATTATATGTATTTTTTAAATATTAGTAGATTCTAAAATAGACTAAATAAGCCTTTGAAACCCTTAAATGTTCATAGTTTCTGGGTGACACGCATCCTGGGTCACTTCTGAAAGATTTTGAGCGACTTTCGACAGCGTTCATGCCGACTTTCTTGTCAGGAAGTCAAGGACATCGACCACCCACCCCACCCGTCGGGCAAATCCTGGTGCAACCCCTGTGTCATTTTATCACATACCACAACTTTGTGATACACCTCCATTAATAATTAGTCATATTACAGACCACATAATCTTTGTACTGACTGTGTAACCATTTAACCATTTAATATGGTATAAAGATATGATGCTTACAAACATTGCAAGATAGGACATATTGAATATTATTCAGATCAAAAGTCAAGAGGAAACGATATTTTTATGGCTCCCTGCTGGATCCTTCGCTATCAACAAAGAAATCAACTAAACCATATTATTTTACAATGAAACCTTTTTACAATTAACTGAAGATATAATAAAACAGAAGAAGATCAATAAACAGATTAAAAGAAATAAATGTTATATAGAAAAGGACTTCTTGTTCAAAAACAAATTTTGAAAAAAGATTAGAAAAATTGTACCAGAAAAAACAAAGATTTTCAACTAAATAGTATAAAAAATGGAAGTGAGATACTTACTAACTAAAAGATATTGTCAATGTAATACACGCTTTTTTGCAACGATCGGGCCAGAATTAGCTAAAAGGGGTCATACTAATTACCGTCAACAACCGTTGTTGACGGTAATTAGTATGCGTGTACATTAATACTAATTACCGTCAACAAGCGTTGTTGACGGTTTTTGACGGCAATTAGTATTAATGCACACACATACTAATTACCGTCAACAAGCGTTGTTGATGGTATTTAATATCTATGTACAGAAATACTAATTACCGTCAACAACGATATAGATATATAACAGCATGTATACTACTATCTGACTCAGTTGTTTGCATGATAGTGAAAATGTTACCTTTCAGAGTCTTCGTTATATAGATACAGATATAATTATATATATTTATATTATGTTTGAAATTATTGCAATTAATTATGTAGTTCTTTGCTATAGCCCTGGGCTACTCATTTGATTTTGTTTTTAGTGGTATATAAACGATTAACCGAGTCATTTGGGTATCATTAGGATATACAATTATCAACATAGTATATATACAGTATTATTATTATTATCAATATTATTATAACTTGTATATAAATGAAATATATTATTATTATTATAAATATTAGTATTAATCTAGTTATTATCATTATCATTATTAGTATGATTTGTTATTATTATTGTCAATTACTATTATTATCATTATTATCATCATTTATTATTCTTATTATTAGTATTATTATTATCATTATAGATATTATTATCAATCTCTTTGCCTATGCCCTGTGTCTATCACAGGACGAGATTGTATGACGGTTGTTGACGGTAATTAGTATGACCAGCTAAAGGTATACCGGAAACAAATACTTCACACGATAAATAAACCAGAAGACATATTAAATATTGAAGTTTTTCATTTTAATTTCATAAACGAAGATTATATTCGGAAATAATTTATTAATTTATTATCTGAAAACAAAGCAACAGGTGTGGATGAAATTCCTGTTAAGCTTCTTAAGGTAGCAATTGACTATTATTGTTGGACCATTAACCTATATTGTAAACTTTCAATAGGAATCATGAAAAGGGCAAAAATTCGCACATTTTACGAAGGTGGTGATCGTGAAGACGCGTCAAACTACAGACCAATTTCGATTTTGCCAATTTTATAAAAAAAATTATGGAACTCGTTGTTTTTGTTCAAATATCCATACCTAAATTTTCATTAATTTATGTAAATCAGTCTGGATTCCGGCCTAAATTCTCAACATCCTGTGCTCTTATCCATATCACAGACTGGATTGGTGTAATTGAAAATGGAATGTATATTGGATTGGTAATGATTGATCTAAAAACGCTTGACACTGTAAATACGAATATTTTAGTTAATTAACTACATTGCTTTGAATTTCATATTAATGTAATTAAATGGTTTGAGAGTTATTTAAGTAAGCGAAATCATATTACATTTATAAACTTCATTTCGTCTGACATGAAAGAAAACACGTGGTATTCCACATGAATCAATACTAGAACCAATATAGTTAGCTCTATATTTTCAAATCTTGTTGATGAACACGTATTAACTAAAATAATTTTATGAAGAAGTAGATGGGGTAGTCGTGTTAGTCTAGATGATAGCGGTAAATGAAACACAGACAGCACTTTTCAGACAAACAAATTTAGTTTTCCACAAGCATTAAAGGTAAACTATTGAACATTAAAAACTTATATAAAGATGTAAAAGGAAAGGTTTCATCTGGAGACCATGAAACAGATGTTTTTAATATTGACGAACGTGTAAAGCAAGGTTGCCCACTATCTACAATCCTATTCACCATATACATTAATGAACTCAATAAGATTATTCAAGTTCAAGTTCAAGTTCAAGTTCAAAAGAACATTTATTTTTTAAAAGTAATAATAATGCATATATAAAATAATAAATAACCAGCCAAGTTTGAGAGGGGCGAAACCCAGAAAGCAGAGCTTATATAGGGCTGCCTTAAAAAAAAAATAAAAAAAAAAAAAAAACGCAACAAACAAAAAGCCAAAAACAGGAGACAAAACAGACAAAGCAGACAACACGAGGGTGCTCAGAAATGCAATTTTTTTTTCTTTTATAATTTTCGGACAAAAACAAAGTTGGTAATGGAGGTCTGGAATGGGTAAAGGAAAAAAGTTATGCATAACTTGATAGGAAGCGTCTTTTTTTAGAGTAGGAATTATGAATGGAGTGAGGGA